CCTGTCTAATTCTAAGCTGCATGGATTTACACCAAGTATGTCTGTCTGTTATTTCTTCCCTTTCAATGCCTCATAGTTAAATAATGAAGAATTACTTCTCTTTGGCAAATAACAATTCCAGTGCCAAATATTAGTACAAGGTATTGGAACAGCTGTGGCTGTGATAAGAGTCCACATGGGTCAGAAAAAGACATCCTTTATTATTACAGAACAAATAACCTGTATTATGTACTACTGCAGAAATACATGCTGCCACACACACAAAAAAAAAAAGACAAAAAAATAATCACCACTAAACGCTCACGCTAATTCATGCCAACTGTATCCGCCAGTACTGTAGAATAGTTGGTGCTGTAGTACCGTTGAGCAGCTAACATTTCACACAGAGTCAGAGTGCCTTCCAGGAAGACATTAGCAGTTATGATATCTTGCAACATAACAGACACCCAGATTTAATCAGCCTATCACTTCTGCATCCACATGGACTGAAATGGGTGTACGGTATAGAAGAATCTGCCCCAAATGGCGATACAGTCAATAGTTTCCTGTCATTCTTCAGGTGGACTTCACAGAAACCAGTTCCACCAACACTGAATTTAGCTGGGTGAGAACTACCTACATGAAACAGCCACATTCATGTTAGGTTTGTCACATGTCTAGTTCACCTTTTCAACCAAAACATTATCATTTAATTATTTTCTCTTTATTTGCCTGCTTTTAAAGAGATCAGTTCAGTTTAATGATGGGTTGTCTGGTTGTGTTTCAACTCAACAGACAATTTAGTCTGCCAAGTTCCAATTTATAACCAGGTTCTTCCATAACTGAATTAACAAGCTTTTTGACCACACAGCAACAGTGTCTAACAACATTTAGGAATATTTATTTCTCTGCCAACTTTATGATAAAAATCAGTAAAAGGATTTGCCCTATTGACCATCAAATATTTTTAACAGTTTTTCCCTTTGTGATAACATATGCAGACAAATTTGAATCCTGTGCTGTTTTGAATGCTGTAATTACAGAAAACTCATAGTTACAAATGCCAGGATTTGCAATGAAAACTCTAGCCAGGAAAATATTTTCTAGTGGGATTTTCATGAAGCTCTTCTTGTCAAGCAAGAGAGTTTACTCTTGTAATAAAACAAGAACTTGGGAAAAAAAAAATCACATCTCTTTAGGTTATTATTCTTAGAGGATATATGTATGTGTGGAGTTTGTTTTGATTCTTTTTTTCTTTTTCAGTTAGGCTACATGCACAACAGACTTCAAAACCAATCCAAAATGTACAGAGCCTCAGAAGAGAAGAGGTCAAGGATGGTTCTGGATTTGAAAAACAATAATTTAAAGAATCTCATTTGAAAAACTGTAAGAAGCACCATAAAACCTAGACTCTAGTTTCTCACCTTTGGACTTTTTATACATTCAGGTCAGTGACTTGGAGGATTCTAAATCTTCCAGTTAGGCTGGCATCACAGCCACTTCTACATGACAACATTGGTCTTTCAAAACACACAACAAAGTTATATTATAGACACTTAAGGTACACATGGGCTCTTTATACCAACTAGACTTCAGGACTACATATTCTTGGGGCAGTTAAAATCAAGTACCTTTAAAATGCCAGTTCTACAAATAATTCAGAGCATGCACCTCGGAAGACTGAGGTATTATATTTCCTTATTATTAAGCTGAGTAAACATTAGTTCTATTTATATTTATGCCTCATGTGAAGCTGGGAAGGTTTCAAGAATTTAATTGCAAGATAAAATTTCAAAAACAAATTAAAATAATTATGTATTCAGATGTATTAAAAATATCTAACAGCATAATATATATACTTTATGGTCCTTATGCTTTATTAGATTTTCAAAAAAATCCAGTTCAATAAACAACATTAGCACTAGAAATTAGCATGCTGCCAGGAACGTCAAGATTTGTATCCAAATATCTCTGCATGTCATCATTATGGCTGTTCATGTATTTCAAAAAGAAGATTAAAAGCATGATTGAAGAGGTTTTTAATGTTTTACATGAAGGTTCTTTTCTTTTAGTTCATCTGGTTGTACAAAAGCTCATTTTGTTGATCCATCACTTTTCTGATTAGTCTGATGAATGAAGCATTGACTTACGTCTGCATGCTTCTGTGGAATAACACGATTGCATTCATTTAACAATTAATCAAAGACAATGACATACTTAGGAAGATATCATTCAGTTTTGCTTATCAGTTTGCTTAGCAACAAGCAAATTCTCAGGCTCCTGAAAATGAAATATTGCAACATAAAATGATAAAAATGTTTTGCTTTGATTTAGTATAATTTGACTGCCTAAACACACTTTAAATTAATTTATTTCCAGATGGCATTAAAAACTATAAACGATGTCTTTTTTCACTGGCATTTTAAATAAACTGAAGGCCAAAACCAGTTTTAACTTAATTTTCTTTGAATTAGTTCAGACATTTTTAAAGGCTTATACCAAAAATGGTAAGATTTTTTCCAGATACTATGTAGCATTGGTCTACATCATTTAGTTACTTTTGCATTTTAATAATTTTTAATTCACATTAAAAGCTATCACCATTATAAAAAACACTTTATGAAAGTAATCTTATAACCTTACCTCAAAAACTAAGGGTTAATAAATTCACTATCTTTTAATATTTTCACTATTTATATAAAACAAAAAAATATGCAAAGTCCTTTTAAGCTATGTAAGAAAGATTACTAGATAAATAATTATATGGTAATTACATTGATTTTTTTTTTTTTTTAATGCAAGTGCTCTTAACTAAGTAATATCTTAGAACTTGTTCCCATTACTTTAATATTGCAAGGTTAAGATCTAGAAATAAAAAAATGCATGATTATTACTATAAAGTACTCAGATTTAAATGAGAGTTTTTCCTAACTATATAGGTTTGAAACAACAATATTCATATTCTATTCAGGTTTAACAAAATATCCAAAAGGATAAACAGCATTTATCCTCTTCCAGCTGAGGAACACTTCTGCTGCAGACCTTCAACTGGAAATCTCAAATAAAGCTTACTCCAACCCTCTCTAATAAAACAAAGACACTTTAATACAAAACTTCAGTACAGTTTCTCAACTGTTTTAGCTGCAGTTAGGATATTTCCTATCAGAGAAAAGCAAAGGTTGCATAAATCTCAGCCAACCTCTCACTCCTTTTTTTGTTCATTCTGTGCAAAATTTGTGATGTCCAGGTATCACATACTTAAACCCACACAGATCCACAAGAAAAGTGAAAGCATATGCACGTTGGGAAAACTCAACACACACTGCAGTGAAAAAGCAGAAGGAGCCCAACTCTATTTGTGTAAGACTCCTGGATATTTTCAAGGGCTAAAGGATTTTTACCTGTCCACTTTCTCCTACTGCAATCATGGTTAGTCAAATCTGATACACCTTTCACATCCACGGCTCCTAATCTCTCAGGCTTACAGACTGCTTGGAATCCTTATTCTCCTCACGTTGAAAGACAATGCCCAACTCTGCAAAGGGTTACCAGCTAGACTTCTAAGAAGCTGTCCTGCAGACAAAACAACCTGGCCAGCAGACAAACACTATACAGCTGCTCAACCCACCCTCCCCTGCCCCTATGAACGGGGGAGAAAACTGAAAGAGTAAGGATAAGGACTCTCATAGATCAAGATAAAAACAATTCAATATTTGAAATCAAACAGAAATTGAACTAATAATGATAATAATAGTAGTAGTAATAGAATATACAAATGAGTGATGCACAATGTGACTGCTCACCACATGCCAACCAATGCACAGCCCACTCCCGGCCAGTGATCTCGGAAGGAAGAACCCAAAACCTCAATCCCAGAAGAGAGATGGCACCAATTGCTTGGCCAACCTTAATCTATATACTGAACATAACGTTACATGACATGGAATATTCCATTTGCCAGTTTGGGTCCACTGCTTTGGTTCTCCTCCCTCCCAGCTTCTTGCGCACCTGCACACTAGCAGGACAAAGGAAGCTGAAAAATCCTTGATTTCTTAGCAACAACTAAAAACATCAGTGTATTATCAACATTCTTCTCATAGCAAATCCCATACTGAACCTAAAACACAGCACTGTTCTAGCTGCTAAGAAGGAAAATTAGCCCTATCTCAGCCAAAACCAGGACAGAAGTATATGGGTACATGGCACTCTTTGATCTCAGTGTTGCCAGTGGTCTAAGTATTCTTTAACTCTAAACCTTTAGAATTTGTGCAAGTTAGATGGGCTTTTTGGTTTTGGGGTGGGGTTTTTTGGTTAGTTAGTTTTTTTGTATTGTTGTCAAAATCACTGACTTCCAAATGAAGAAAAAGGCATTTAGCTTCCTTAACAGACAAATTCTCATCACATTTAAATTGCACATCAAGCCTTGTGCAGGAGAGGCTATGGCTTTTCAGCTGCTGTTGGCTCAGTTACGTAGCCTCCAAAAAAAGGAAAAATACTTGGAATTTATTTTTAAATTTGCTCACAATCAAATGCAACTGCAAAATTCCACAGCCATACAAGAGAAGGCAAAGCTTCTAAATACCCTCAGAATTAACTTTCATCAGCTACAATTGCTGTTACTTTATGCACACAATCAACTGTGGGGATAAAGCAAAGTCTAGGTTATTTAGCTACTGCACAGCCAAGAGTCAGAAGGGTAGCATAAGGGTTTATTTCAGAGCACTCAGACTCACATTACTATAATTATTAGTACTTAAGAGTTTGAGTTGTTTTTCTCTTCAGCAACTCCTAAATAAAGCGGATCTTTGCAAATGAACAGTTTGTCTTTCAGTCACAGCATAATGCAGTCAAGGCAGTAAAGTCTTTCCTACTGCGTGTTTTGCAATTACAATTCCTCACTGATATAACTCAACAATGTAATAAAAAATAATCAGTATTTATCTAGTGCTTGTGGATCAAAACGTTCTTACACTGTTGAAATGAAGCAGAAGTTAGCTAGTTTTAGAGGTTATGAAACGTACCCAGACAAGGAGCAACAGATTTCTTTTCACTGTTCCACAGTAGCCCAGCATTCCAACTATGATGAGGAAACAGCAGACTGCAATCATGACCGGGTGGACCACAGGAAAGTAAGTCAAAATGATAGCCTCCTCCACCCTAAAACCAATCAGAACCATAATCAAAAAAAGGACAATCATACAAAAATTATACAGAAGAAAAACATAATACAGCCATTAAAATGAAAACGGTGGATTAGCAGATGAGTTTTTTCCAGTGTCTTACACAGAAATCTCTTCTAAATGCTCTTAAAGTCAAATTCTGCATTCAGGTACCAGAAAGTAATGCATCATCCAAAATCTCTTTGGAGCAAAGGCAATCTTCCTGTCCTGTACAGTAAGTAGCACAATGAGGCCCTGTTCCATCACTAGGGCTCATACACACTGCTGTAATAAAACTAACAGCATTCCTAAATCTCTGGACTGATTAAAGTATTCAAAACTAAACAGTAATATAATATGGCTACATGTTGGCAAAGGGCCAAAAACTGATCCCTGTTAGAAGAAAAAGGCACAGGAATAAAACAAGATTGAATTTATATCTTTCCCCTTTCTCTAATTTCAACCAATGACAGAAATAGTGGCAAAAATACACCTTTCAACAAAACAGTAATTAGCTCAACTGAAGGCTTCTTATTTCCAAAAGTGCTAATTAGGAAACCTGCCATACAGAGTGAACAACATATACTGCAATCAATCACCCACACAGATTAATAGGTTTAAAGAAAGCTTTACCTCGTTTCCGCAGTTAAAGTGAGAACATTATTCAGGTAATCTCTCATCCAGGCAGAAACACCTAATATGCTGATGGACATCAACTAAAAAGAAAAGGTGAAGTTACTTATCATGCATTTAAAAAAAAAATGTGCAAGATCATTCATAATTTAAGAAGATCAATCTTTCATGCACTCATTTATCTGAACAGCATACTGTCCCCAGAACCGTATTTCTATATGCTTAGAGCTGGTTTGTTGCCCAAGCATTTATGAAGCCAGTGTCAATAATCTTCTCTTTGTGTATGCAATTAATGCCTGGCATATCTTCTCTTCCACCAGTGATGCCATTGATGGCTCAAGTCCCATCACTGCACAACGTAACACAGAAGCAACAGAGAGTTTATGCTGCTAAAATCAACGACTCTTTCAGGGTTCATATACAATGTCCACCAGTCTGTATGAAACCATGAGGCCGTCCTCAGGTACACAGTCACTGAAGAATTATCTGATGCCCTAAACGGGATACAACAGTACTGATACACCAACACAAAGGAGGGAGGGATTTATCTTGGAGTTAAATTTAGAAGAATACAATTCTCTTGCTCATTCAGATAGTCACCACCTCAGCAGACCTGAATTTCTGTCACCTGACACCATCATGCACTCCAGCACACGTGGGACCTACCAACAGAAGCTGTGGCCTCTAATTTTCTTGAGAAGCCAAATCCAAACGATGTGATGAGAACATACATACCACATGGTGGTGACAGGTCTCCTGCTGCTGTAGCACAGGTACTGCTAGAGAAAAAGGCACTCTTCACAGCACTTATCAATGCATTTTGCACTGGGCTAGGTAAGTCAGTATGCCCTTCCTCCAGGAGGAGGACTCACATAACAGCTGCAGCCATCCCTACCTTTGTGCATGCTCTCTGGCCCCAGGATCACCCCATCTCCTCCTGCGCTCATGGGACACACAGCACTGCTCCCCAAACAGAAAGTGAGAGGTGAAGCTATAAACTGCTTTGAGGAGAGGTGGGAACCACTAAGCTTTTCCACAAAATGGAGCAAAGTTAAGGTTACTAATGCCACCACTTCTCAAACCATTTCAGGGAATTCAGCCAGTTTATTACAGTCAAAGGAGAATTTTGGAGTATCAGTCTCACATGGGCACCTAAGCCTGAACCACCACTCATGGTCTGAACCTGGCAGACTCAGGACTTCAGAAGCACCACTGTCTAGCTGAAGGAGGGAGGGAGACTTAAGCATGCTGGCTCTCCTGAATACTACTGTTTTCATGTGTTGTATAGATGTATTGCCAAGAAACCTCAGCATTATACTAACAGCTTCTTAAATCAGTGAGAAGTGCTAATCTCCCACTGCCTTCAACAGCTCACTTCCAACACGCCCTCATATTTCTCCAAAGTTGTTATGAAGAACAAGTTAACTGGTTCAAACCTAACATGTAAGAAAAGTCACTCTGTGTCCTTACTGACTCCTTTGCCTGCAGCACATCCATGGCTGGCTACTTCTACTTTTAAAAATTCACGAGAAGTCCTAGTGGCTACCTCACAGCTTCCTCCTGCTTTTTAAAACTCATGCACAAAATACAGTCACTGCCTTGGTTCTGGGTGATGTCAGCAAGAGCCCTGGGCATCTGACATGCTGCAAGCATAGTCCTGAAAGCTAGTGCATGCTACAAGTCTACTGTGCACATGCATGTCTTTTACACTCTGTGGGATCTATTTCGGCTAGTGGAAGAGTAGGAGTGAAAAGCATTTTCTGTTGTGTTATTAGAGGAAGCTGCAGGAGCAAGGAAAAGAATATGACTAGAATCTTCTCCTAGATAAACAACAGCTACCTCCTTAGAAGAAAGCATCAGGCAAATATGCCACACAACTAATAAAAAACATGTTTCTAACATAAAAAGAGGTAAAAAAGACAACAAGCAGATAGCCTACTTTCTTATGGTCAAAAAGCAACAGAAAATATACATATAAAGAAAGTGTTAGCTTGCACCTGTTTATAGCAAAACATTTAAAGACACATTTGGTTACTTTGCTTTACAGCAGTGGTGCTTAGGATTGAGAAGTCCATCAAAACCACACTCCTCAGCAACTTTTAATAAGATGTTCTGCTACAAAAACTGTACCAGAAAAATGTTCACTTGCTAGATAATATCCTTCCACCGATACAGCCTGCCTAATCGCTGCTCTCCATTAGGAACTTACAGGCTGCACTCATCTTCCTTCAGCATGCAGTGATACACTCCAATGCAGCAATGACACAAGGTGGATTCCTTGGAAGAAGGCAAGAGATCACTTTTCCAGCAGAGGTAAGATTTGGCAGGCAAAAGAGTCATCACAAGAACTGAAGCCTGAAGGTTATTAGGAGACAACAGAGATCACAGAGCCACCAGCTAGAAGGCAGAGGGGACAGAAAGGACTTCCTAAAGACCAAAAGAAATGAGCAGAGTCCTGCCACTGAGAGAATCATTCAGTTAGCTAGAAGACTTGCCTACAAAAGCAAATCAGGAAGGAGAAGTTTTACTTCTACTGTCTGCCTAAGTTGAGTTTTCTCTACCTAGATATGTATTTTACCCACATAAAATCAGCAAGGGGAATGTCTAGGCAGCTACATCTCCAAGCTGTGGCCAACATGTGGGCCACATGACCTCTACAGAAACACTTAATGACCATATCATGGAACATGACTGTTCACTTAGCATGAACAGCAGCTGGAAGAAAAGGACTGCTTCCCTTCACCTTGGAAACATAACCTTAACCAGTAATGTAACTACATGAACACTATTTCAGTTCATAAGAACAAGCTCTCTATGAAAGGTCTCTCACTTCATTCAAAAAGCTTTTAGCCATTTACGTCCCCCTGGCTGTTCTCCTTCACTGTTAAATAGCTAACAGTCAATTCCTACTGGTTTTGGCTGGACGTAAATTACATGCAAGAAAATTCCCTCTGTAACCCTGATAGCCAGGCTACAGCTCATCTGCTCACCTATCCTGAATGATCTCACTATCATTAACTCCTTCAGGTATTACTGACTTCTGCTACGCTTAAAATTCACTTATGATATCAACACATGAGCTCACTCAGAATTGCTCTGAAAATGTATACACACAATGCCTTACCTCACTGCTACACAGGTGTTACACAGAGATTACCTGTGCAACACCCTCCTGCCAGCCAGAGAAATTTCTTGGGAGGTACCTTATTTTGAAGAAATTCCAAAGTGAATTATTACTCCAAATGACCTGAAAGACAGAGTGCTGTGACACAATGGATTCACATCCACGAAGTCAGTAACACTGTCAAACAGGGGCAGCATAAAGACATGGCTCAGAAGAAAAATAGGCAAATACTCAAGAAGCTCCTCTTGAACAAAGAGGGCCATAGAAGAGCAAATCACAATAACCTGAAAAAGCAATTCAACAGTAGGTTGATTACAAAAGGTATAGTTTACTGCACATAACCCTGCAAATGCTTGGTACCTCTTCACTAGCAAAGGGAAGCACTGGTATCCCTTCTGATCAGAAAAAAGCAAGCCTCTGGGCAGAAACATCCCACAGGATGAAAGATGCATTTGCAACACTAAACTGCCCTGCAAAATAATGACTGATGTTTAGTGACAAATGATTATCAAACATAAACTCACACCCTGATCAACTGACATGCTCACCTGCTCCACAGCCACTGGGGAATCACAAGAACACAACACACACACACACACACCAGACCTCCACAGCCTCCTGCTTATGACTCAACATCTGTATGTGCTGCCCTGTAAAAGTGCTAAACATCTCCAGGCACCAACTGACATCAAGGAGGCTCCAGGCACCCACCACTTCACACCACCTATGGCAGAGGCAGAACCTCACTAGCAGCACAGGAATTACACTAACATCAAAAGTATAACTCAGCCCATGCATTCAGTATGCAGGAACAGTAACAAACTCCCCAAAAACCTTGGTGTTCATCCAAACCTAGCGGCAAAGAACAGCAGTCACATTGCTGCAGTTCACTGCCATGTGATTTTCAAGGAGTCATGGGCAGGAGCAAGGTCCTGATTACAGTTTTTGTTGTTTCATTTGGAGGATAGAAAAAAGGCAGCCTTAAAAAACTGTCAGCCCCTACTTCAGCCATTGTTTTGTAACTAATTTAAATGTAAAATACAGTTAGAAATCTGTATCAAGCAATCAGATGAAAGGACACAAGTTTATATAAAACTATCAAGGTAATTCTCACCACAATAGCAGTTACATTATTTCACCAAAAAGTTTTCATCCAGGCTTCTCTGATGACAGACAGCCAGTCTGCTGTGCTGTAAACATAACATGATCGTAGGCAGTAAAACATGTTTATTTGTTGCAGCTGACTGAACAAGTCACTATGGGCTTCATTCTCAACTGTCACAGTATGTTATATAGCCATCAACATAACACTGAAGAGTTTACAAAACTGCCTGCTGTCATACTCCATTTTAAATATATTTTCACACTGATTAAACAAAGGTAATAAATTATATTTTTATATACAAGCAATATGCAGATCACACAATTAATATACTAAATTTCCAAACTAAGTTATAACAAAGTTCTTAAAGTTACTAGAGCTTTCTCAGACAACTGAATTACAGTGGACTCAAAACTATCAGGAGTGGTCATTTCCAATAATAGTTTAAACTGTCTTTTGAACTCTTTCACATAAATTATGCATCAAAATGAAAATATCCAATCATCTTTTATTCATTAAGTATGTATTTTAAGCCCTTATTGTGACAGTCCTACTCACAATGTCTTTGAGGCCATACCTAAACTGGAAAATAAATCTGCATTTTCAATTAATAAATGAACACAGATTTCTGTCTTAGAGGGAGCAAGACCAATTGCTGTTGCTATTTGCACATCTGTTTTCATGCCTTCATCTTTTTTTTTTTTCATTCAAACATTCTAACACCTTAATTTTTAACAATGGAAGTTGCTGTGCTCAAATTTAAAAGAGGGGTTTTTTCATTATTAAATTGGAGGAAAGATTAAAAGTATCTTCCATATTAAAAATCATCCACTGTTCTTTTTATTCTAACAAATGAGGTAAACAACTTCAGGCTATGCTTCGGTACCCGTACAAAATGCTGACTAGCAACACTACAGAGCTACTGGCTTTGCAGAAAAAGGTTTCCAGCTCCAACAAAATTACTTTCAAGATATGACAACATTCATCAGAATATATGATTTTAGTAAAGAAATAAACCTTGAGAAAATTTTCCACTTAAAATTGATTTGGGTAACCTGAGCTGTGACTTACCAAAGGCAGGGGAGGATAAATCACTACAAGGTCATGAACAGAGCATGCTGCAATGCTTTCACAGGATTTTCACAATTAGGTTCAATATTCAGATCATTGAACAAACACAGATGACTCAGGTCCCTGGATAAACAGAGGACTAGTTTTTTTGGAATGAAGGGGTGTAAGTGCAGGGGAGAGCAGGATAGAGATCTTGTTTTTCTGTGTTACCTAGAAAAAGCATTTACATGTTTAGAGAAAGAAGGGCAGCCTATAAAAAAGGAAATTCCCTTATTCCCCATTAAGGCATCTTTTATGCTACAGACATGCCAATATTTAGTTTTAGCTACGTTTCCTACACAGGGTTATGCCTTGGTCCCCTCCCACCTGCAA